ATTAGAAACATAAAGATATGCCTGTACGAAATGGCTAAAGCACGCCAACACCATATGCCAACAGAAAACGAATTAAGGTCGGCTTTAATACAAGCCGAAGGCATATTGAATAGACGACCACTAACCCATGTATCGCTAGACAAAGCAGATGACGAACCTCTTACTCCTTCTCATTTCTTAGGAGCACACCCAAAGAACCCTCCTGCACCAACCGCACTAACAACAGACAGTTTAAGTAGAGCACACTACAAGCGTATTATTCATTACGCAAAATATTTCTGGGATAGGTGGCGAAAAGAATATCTCCCCACCATAATCAAAAGAAATAAGTGGACCAAGAAAGTCGAGCCAATCAAGGTCGACGACATTGTGGTCATAACGGACAAAGGAACTCTACCCGGCAATTGGCTCAAAGGGAGAGTTGTGAAAGTTCACACAAGTTCCGACGGACAAGTTAGGTCGGCAGAAGTTAAAACGATACAAGGAAATTACGTAAGACCTGCCACGAAAATAGCAGTGCTTGACGTAAAGAGCGCAGCGACGACTAAGGACGAAACAACTACGGCACACATAAACCTTCACCAAGAAGCACCAAAGGTATGTACAAAGAATCGAAGGGAAACTAAACCAGCCCTTCAAGATAAGGGCAAAGGGCAGAAGGCACCACCAATTAAACGTAAAAGAAAGGTGGTAAATCAACCAGTGGAAATCCACCGTATAAACCACCATCGGGAGTACGAGGACGGCGATATAGGTCCAGTCTCCGCAAATAGAAAAAGAAAGGTGGAGGGCGAGTTACCAAGCGCTAATTTGACAATGGATCAACGCGCAGGAAAGAACTTTAATTCTTGGGGAAAACGATGTAAAGTAGACATCGATAAGGTTAAAGAACTAAGAGACAGAATGAACTCGAAACAAAAACCTAGAAATGTAACGAACAAAACTAAAATCCATGTTCCATGGTATATGACCATAATAATGGTATTATTTTTTATAACGGCAGCGTTAGGGCAATACCCAACCGGGCTTATCGCGTATGACTGCGCGAGCCCAGAAGTGAATATGACAAGTTATTCACTATTGGACGTAACGTCTTGTATCCCTTCTACAAAGAATCTTTCAATATCTGAAGTACCTATTCAAGTACTTCAAAGAAGCTCTAAGGGAAGCACAATGGTATATCAGTGCAAAATGATCATTAAGAGATCAATAAGGCACTGCGGAATGCACTCGCACACCTCGGACTATGAGCGCGGATACTCTTACATAGTAAAGGAGTTTACACCCGACGAGTGTAGACGCACTCAACTCACGGGAGCTATTCCCTTAACATTGAGCGCGGGACTCCTCGAACTTAAGAGAAACCACACGACTAGAGGAGAAACCTTAGTCGTAGGTAGCGTATGGGCTAGTTCTTGCAGCGGTGGCGTGTATAAAACACCGGAGTATACTTGGATCAATGCGTTAGTATACTTTGAATATGAAATCGCATTGTATAACTACATGGCAACAATCGATAACGAGAATGATCAAATTATGCTCCGACACGGACTAGTATGTCCATATTCACATGGAAAGTGCCTAGACTCAGAAGATGGATACTCCACTTGGGACGTGAGCCTAAACCAACGGTGTGAAGACACCGATTTCGAAGTTATATATGAAGGAAAGGTTAACAAGACAATAAATATAGAAGGAAATAAACCAAATCCACATGCCGTTTATACCTCCATTTCCGATTCGCATTTGTTTTCAATTCGCACCAAAGATACAGCGAAGATATGCAGATACAAGGGTTATAGCACAGACCACCCGAGAATATTCATATTGGAAGAAGCGGAGTTCAAGTCTCCATTTGCTAGAAGACCATCAAGTGCAAAAAATCATGACATTTTCACATACTTCAATTCTAAAATAACTCTAGTTGAGAATTACGTCGGTCAGAAGCTCGACGACGTATACAATACAGTAATGACTGAAATGTGTAAATTAGACAAGGCACTTTTGGAAACAAAACTTACACTTGCCCGCATAAACCCAACAGAATTCGTTAATAGCATAATGAAAAGAACGGGTTTTTCCGCGGTAGTAGCCGGAGAAGTGCTACACGTATTGGAATGCAAGCCGGTCTACGTGCAACCGTTTGCATCAGAAAGGTGCTATCAAGAACTTCCAGTGAAGTTCGGAAATGTCACAATGTTTCTAACCCCAGTCACACGTACACTACAAATGCGAGGAACGGAAATTGAATGTACACCGTTGTTACCAGCCAAATTCCAATTTGGAGGCAGATGGTACACATTTGATGGGAAGATAAGAGAAACTACATTCCCACAAAAACTGGCCACGGACATAGTGACCAAATGGACTTACACACCTCTTCCAAATTTAATGGAAAGCGGAATTTACGACGCTGATAGTTTGAAAAAGATGCGAACCATGATATACGATCAGGGTGACCGTCGCATAGCCACAAACGTGGTACATAAGATATTAACTGGACAAAATCCCAGCAAGCAGGGATTTCATTTCGAAGCCCTAATGTCAGAAAAGTTAATTGACAACATGATAAACAAGTATTGGGAAAAACTTGTGTCATTGTCATCTTGGTTGGGTAATATAACATCTACAGCCATCGGGCTGTATATCATTGGCAGAATAATCAAGTTTCTTGTAGATACCTTGATGCACGGACGCATATTGTATGACATCTATGGATTCGGATGGCAGCTAATCGCATCGCTGTGGGACTCCATGACAACCTTCCTCACGCATAGGAACACTCTGAAGAACATCAAGAAGTCAACGACCAGAACATATGATGTAACGACGCCTGAAGATGGGACCAATCCTTCAGAAAACACACCACTATCCGATGAAGAACCACAGACGGTGGCTCGCGCCCACCCTCCTGCGCACCCCTATGTAGCGCTCACGATGCCCCGATAGAAGATACCCGCCTAAGAAGTCAGCCAATACGCATATGATAACAAGACGACTGGGTATCAGCCAGTCCGCCAGAAACCAACATTCACATCCAGTAGTGAATGCCGACAACAACGAGATGACGAATCAACTAGACAACATTGCACCAGAATCGGCATTTCAAAACCGAGCCGATTCAACATGAAAGAATTATCAAGACATGATATAAACATAAAAACAAAACAGATATATATCAAGCATACAAATACGTAGAAGTACAAAGACATATAAATCAACTCAATTAGAGTTACGAAAATTATATATCATGATCAGTAAAAGCAGTACGAAAGTACGGAAAATTATAAACATATTAGAAAAATTAATGACTACATACAAGATCAAACACTGAAATGTAAAACATGGAATTTAAACACTCGGAGCAATGTAACATCCCAATAATGAAAAATTGCAATATTAACATATGATTTAGATTAGTAAATCTAGTAAGAATTACGAGGCCCGGGATGTTGCAGATGCAACGTAAAATATCGCAATTCATTATGCATTTTCAAGTTCCCACGATAGGTCACCGCCCTCGTACGGGAAATAAGCGAAAGCAAGAAATTTGTCTAAGAGAGGTGCAAGAAGCACAAAGTCAAGACCAAACCTACCCTAACTCACGCCTCGTAAACGAGAAGTAAACATGCCACACCGCCAGATCTGGCTGACGCATATAGAATCAGTACGCATTTACTTTCCACTTTCTTCGCTCCACGGTGAACCATATGCAGCCCTGCAATGCGTGCAGCGCTGCGGTGTATTAGACGCTCGATGCCAAGGCAGTCCGCGTGCTATGTGAATGGAATGGTAATGAATCGGTCGCATGGAGCTCGGTGCGCCCGGCAATGCGAGCCTGGCGCAAAGGTAATAAAATCTGGTTCCCTAAAAAGATGCGTAACAACGCCAAGATAAACGAATTATCGTAATAGAACCAGTCTTGGGAAGGATAGTTGAAGCATTAATAGAAAGCAATGAAATCGTCCCAAGGGACAATCTTGCGTTCGGCATCCTTCCAAAAACACAAAGGGCAATAAAACCGAGCTAGCGACGGTTCCACCGCAGAGAGCAAAATCAATGGAAAAATGCACTTAGGCCTAGATAGGCAGCGATGCATGCGTACGCATCCAAGCTATAGGCTAGATCTGGGGAGCGGGCCAATGTAAACAGGAAGCCTGGTGCGGATTGATTTAAAGTAATTTACATGCACCAGCGAGGCGCGAGAACTTGGGTCATAAAAGTTAAAAATGAAAACGTTCCCCTACTAGGATGCGTGACCAAGGGAAATCTAGAATTAGGAAGAAAGTGCGTCTAGAACCCCTGTGCGGGAAGATAGACGCACATGCGTACGTGGGCACCGACGCCCAAAACTTAGGTCTAAGGGACGCTATAAAAGCGTTTTGATACAACCAAAATATATTCAGTTTTCACTATCCTATCCAAGTGTACGGACTTGTCGCCAGGTCCACCCTTACTCCTACATATCACCTCAATAACACTCTTCGCCTCCAGCCTATCAAACTCTCTCGCGGTAATCCGTTTCCAATAAGAGTTTCCTCGGAATCGACGCTACTGCCCCCATCTGAGCTGGGCAAGTACCGGCCGAGCACCTTTATTGGTCGGAACCCGTTTCAGAGTTTGGGCACTCCCCGACTAGGCTGATCAGGTTTACCGCTGGTGTATCTGTTGGAATCGCGCTACTGCCCCCATCTGAGCTGGGCAGCTACCGTCCAACCATATCCCAACCGTAGAGCACTCAGCCAAGTCCTAAGGAATCCTGTTCGAAAGTAGGCGAATCTCGCTTCAAGTGGTATCGGTTCCTGCTGTTGGAACGACGAGCTCGAAGCCAGTCGAAACCTACCAATTCGATTAGGATCCTCCGTGAGGCATTCGAACCCCTTCCTCCGGTCTGGTCTGTGAATAACCGCACGCCGAAAGTTCGCCGCGTGATCCTTCGCGGATTGCGAGTTCCTCTCGAAAAATAATAATAAAGGACGAAGCCCCTTCGGCTTCGTCTGATGAACGTGACACGCGCGTCGCGAACATACGTCCTCCGGTACGTTCACAACCTGAAGCGGTCCACAAGAAAGGAACAACGTGTCAATGGGTCGCTGACTCAGCAGGAACTGGCTAGAGCTGAAAACTACTTGTTCCGCCTAGCACAGTCCGAAGGTTACGCGGACGAGATCGCCACGCTGGCAGCGGGATATCACCAAACGAGCACCCAAGGAAGGATCATTCGAAACAACCCACTCTTTCGTACCGCTTTCTTGGACGAAAACGGAGTTGCCCGATTCCGAGGTCGAACGAAGGCGTGCGCATTCGTCGATCGTGATGCTGCTGAACCCATTATTCTTCCTCGTCATCATCAAGTCACCCGACTAATCATAGCTGAGGCCCACGAGCGGTTCAACCACCAGAACCACGCAACGATTGTCAACGAGCTCCTGCAACGGTACCGCATTCCTCGGCTGAAAGCGACCTACAACGCTGTTCGGAAAGACTGTCAGCAGTGCAAGAATGACCTAGCGAAACCACGTCCTCCGATGATGGGCGATCTTCCGCAGTCACGCCTGGCTGCATTCAGTCGTCCTTTCACCTACATGGGGGTGGATTATTTCGGTCCAATATTAGTATCGGTGGGCCGACATTCTGAAAAACGGTGGGGGGTTCTCGCGACCTGTCTGACCACACGCGCCATCCACTTGCAGATCGCTCACACACTGACCACCGACTCCTGCGTAATGGCAATCCGAAACGTCATGGCTAGGAGAGGAGTTCCTGCTGTGATCTACAGCGACCGTGGGACCAACTTCCAGGCCACCAGCAAGGAACTAAAGGTGGCAATCGAGCTACTCGATCAAAACAGACTGGCCAGCGAATTCACTACGAGTCGTACCCAGTGGACATTTATTCCACCGGTTTCACCACACATGGGTGGAGCATGGGAAAGGCAGATCCGTAGCGTGAAGCAAAACCTAGCTAAGGTACAACCTAGCAGACTACCGACCGACGAAGTGTTGCAGAATGCGATGGTGGAGGTTGAAAACATCGTCAACTCTCGACCATTAACGGACCTTCCCGTAGAAGATGACGAGTCACCCGTTTTGACACCCAACCACTTCCTGCTAGGGTCAGCAAACGGCCTCAGATCATGGGTTCCGTTCAACGATAATCCCATCCTACGGAGGAACTGCTGGATCCAGTCACAAGTTATGGCTGACAAGTTCTGGAAGCAGTGGGTACGAGACTATCTACCCTGTCTTACGCGAAGAACGAAGTGGTTCACTCCAGCGACTCCAATTACTGTCGGTGATACTGTGGTGATCGTTGACGCGAAGCTATCCAGAAACTGCTGGCCTAAGGGAAGAGTTATTGCTACGCATCAGGCTCCAGACGGACAGGTACGGTCGGCGACAGTACAAACAGCGTCTGGTGGAATATACGAGCGCCCGGCCATTTCATTGGCTGTGCTCGACGTAGGCGTTAGGACGAATACGCTATCGGATGATCCTTCGCGCATTCCGGGGGGAGTGTTGACTACGCCCCGTCGGTAAAGAGTGTCGGTGCCCCCATTCGACGCTGCATCACTGCGCGCCACACCTGGCGCTGGCGAAGGGATCGGCTGCGATACCAAGGATAAACAATACGTGGACGAAAAAAGAAGATAATCGTAAACAAATAGCCATCGCGGAAGGTGAAAGGTTTCAGATTAAATTAAATTCTATTGCTTCAAAAGTGAAATTAAAATACTTATACTAGTTTAATTCCTATGAGCTAAAGTGAATTTATTCTTAAACCTAATTTAACTTAGTGCCTCTCGATAAAGCTTAATCTAGGTGAGATTTTAGGTAATGAGAGATGAGTGAAAATTATATGTTATTCTACCTCGTATTCTACTTTGTCTAGACGAAAAGGTGGAGGAAAACCTATGAGAACAGTCCACGTTAATGGAGGAGGAGTAAAAAAAAGAGGACAAGTAGGACATTAGAACAATTGTTGCGCGAGAAAACTACGAGACTAGAAACGCTAATAGTAAGGTAAAAATAACAAAAATGTTAACATTGTTTATAAGAGTTTCTTTCGCAGGAATTTTATAATTGTTTCCATCAATACGGAATAAATTCATAGAATTTGGTTTCAAGTTTCGCCGTCTTCGCAACACTTGGTCCTTCGAGCCGGATCTGAACCAGCGACCTATGGATGCGACATAAGTACTCGAATCCCCCAGCCACAAACCGGAGTGGCAAAGGTGTCCGACGTTCCCACGGACATAAGCCGTTCCAAAAGAAGGAAGAGAAAGCTGGCCCACCTGCAGACCCAGCGACCAAGTACGTAGCCAAAGAGCAGTCTCCCCCTTCGGACGAGCTAAGGTATACGGTACCAACCCTGACTGGTATGATTCCAGATCGTGATTTTGCTTTGTACAACTTCACGGCTGAAGGATATCTGAACGTGGTCGAACAGAGCCACCGAAAGATGACGAAACTTGATGGTCGCATGTCAGATGTACTGCCACAGGCAGTATTCGTCCACAACATGACCCAGTTATACCATCTCCACGTTCAACGAGTGGCACACGAAACCAGACAGGCCTCCACTTGGAGCCATGCAGAAGAGGACCTTAAGATTAAGGAAATGGAGGAATTGCTCAACTCCGATACGGTCCTAATTCCAACCGAAGTTCACGACTGGTTGAAGGGTCTTGGAACGTTTCAGGACAAGACAGGGTACTCTTACGCCCCCAACGTTCCTTTGGCCGTTGTCCCGAAAAAGAAAAGAGCAAGGTGTGATGGAGGTGACTTTGGACTACCAGAAGCTGACTCTCATAACTCTTATGAGACTAGCATCTCACCTCTAGTGACTAGGCGTACTGTTAACGCTCTTCTCATGAACGAGCCCATTAATGGGCGTATCGTTTACACCCCGCTTCCGGACAACATGACGCCACAAAACGGTAATCCCACCCCGAACTTGCTGGGATACCAACCCGATTTGGCACCCTTGAGTGTAGAGGCTCGCAACACTTACGCAGAAGCTGTAAACCACTGGCCCACCCACGGGTTTCAGACCCGAACAGGTTATAATCCTGTTCTTTGGTCCAAGCAGAGTGCAGCTGTGGTGGATACGGCCCTGCGCAAGCAATGCGCAGACGGACGATAAAATGTATGTAAACAAAAAGATCAGCATAAACGCGATCACGCCACTCGGGCAGCGAACGCAGTTTGTGCTGATCCAGCAGAAAGGGCAGGATCGCCATTAAGTTAGCATAAGAGAGAAGTAATAAAATGATTCTTAGTTCTGACACGGAGGCGAGCAGTTGAGTTCATTTTATCATACCGAAAGCCAAGTGGCTAATACTAACAGATAGAGGGACAACTTTTCATGGCGATCTTGCCAGGAGCTCTAAGGAACAGTAGATGAGTGCTGCAAATTGTGTGCCGTTAATTGAACGCTACCGCCGCCGCGACGAAAAGTGATAATTAATGACGAACACAAAGTGTGTTTGATCGAGTTCGAACAGCGAGTGCACTGCGATGCGATGCGGCAGAAAACCAACCGGTCGCGAAAAGAAAGTTTCTGTGATTAACAGGCCAATAAACTACAATTACAACAGCCAAGCCTGATAGATGGTCGTTAAATTAGTGAAAACAGTGGAAAAAATTTAGTAATCAAACGAAACCGCGAGTGACAATATGGGTTGGTTCAGTGCGGACGAAATCGTCGCCGCACCAGCCGCCGCGAGTGGGGGACAGCCACAGCCCCAGTGTGGACATCATACAACCCAAACAGTGGCTCTGTGTGCCATGGCGGTCTTTGCCGCTGGCTATTTGATTTTCAAAGGAGTAGCGAAGATCAACCGCCACAACACTGAGCGCGTTGCCGAGAGGGCGGCACGCCGTGTGAATGCGCAAGTTTAGGGTTTGAAGACGGACTCCTCTCAATAAGTAAATTGACAAAACTTTGACCGATATTCAAGTGCAAGGAAAAATATTTGAAGCCACTGCTGGGAAATCTTACGAAGTGCTATTGGAAGTGCGGCTAAAGTCCAGTGGAAGCTGAAATTTACAATAAACCACCACCCCACGAGTGCGCATGGAAGAAAAAAAAAGGCGAACCGTAAAAGACAAAGTGAACAAAAATTAAAAAAAAAAAAAACATTGAACATGTGGACAGTATCGATTTCTTTATAGTTGCTCAAGCGATAGAGCAATTTGAACGCGAAAAAAAAGTTTTGGGAACGAATTTCCCGTAGAGACAAAAAACTATCTGTGGAAGTGATGGCCGCGAAGCGTGCAATCTTTGAAGCGGTATACAACCTGGCAGCAGGAGCTGCCCTGAGGATAAGGTCGGCAGGCCTCATCGAGGACTTAAACTGGGCCTACAACGGCCTCAAGATGACCGTAGATGCTGTGAAGCCCTAAGTGAGTCGCCGTGCTGTAACGACGAGAACGTAGTCGTCATCGTCGTCGTTGCCGGTTTGCAGAACAAAAAGGGAAGCGATAGTAAGTGCCTGATAAAATGAACTGATATCGGAAAAAAAAAAAAAAAAAAAAAAAAAAAAAAAAAAATTAAGTTAGCATAAGAGAGAAGTAATAAAATGATTCTTAGTCCTGTCACGGTCGCCAATTCTGTTGAATAAATTTTTAAATTTCATTCGGATAGGGCGTGTGGTGGATACGGCCCTGCGCAAGCAAGAAATTATTATTTAAAAAAAAGGCAAAAGAAACCAAAGGCAAGCCGTTGCTCGGAAGAGGTCCTGCTGGTACTGCACCCAAATAAACGGCGCATGGTGACGAAAGTCAATCCATGTTACGACCGAGGTAGCACAAACCAAAGGACGGCATAGATACACACGTGTACTGCTCAGCCTTGCGCCGGCAAGCAAAACCGCAAGCCCATGCCTAGTAAGGCAACCGTACGTACAGTACGAATGCATGCCGATAAGAATAGACTTTTACTTTCTCTGCCGCTTCTCCGTTTAAAGGGGCATCATAGCATGCAGCGCGCTAAGCGTGCACTTGAACCGTGCGTAGAGCGAAGGGCACCACTCGATAGGGAAATGTGAATAGAACGATAGCCCTGTTACCGGCGGGTAACATTTTGTTTTCCATCATTAGATGTGGGGAGTAGGGTAAATAAAATTGTTAGTGTAGCTAACGGTCGATTTGAAGTGGGGGCGATCAACGCCCGACGGTGTGGATCGCGTGTGTTGTCTGATAGCAGTAGGTAGCTGATAGTGCTCTACGCTACCTACTGCTATCAGACGACACACGCGATCCACACCGTCGGGCGTTGATCGCCCCCACTTCAAATCGACCGTTAGCTACACTAACAATTTTATTTACCCTACTCCCCACATCTAATGATGGAAAACAAAATGTTACCCGCCGGTAACATATCCCCCTCCGGTCAGGGAAAAAAGAAGCGTATACAATGGTTCTTTTTCTGTTCACTCTAAATACTTAACTGAAAAGAATACTTCTGCTATTATGGCGTACAATCGAGGTCAAACTCGGGGAAGAGATATGGACGGAACACCTCCTGCTCGGACCAACAATAATAATCGTCGAGCGCTATCGCGTCGGGATTACGAACGAATGAATACGTTCAATGAGAGTAGAAATACCGACACTGGAGACCAGTGGGAAAGGATTGCTGAGCCAGGCACTAAGCTCCAAGCTAGTGAGCCAAAATGGCGTCAAAACCAGCGAAAGAATCCAAAGCAAAAGGGACCAGGTAAACCAGCTGAGAAAATACCTGGCCGTTCTACTACTCAGACAGAGCCTCAGGATGAGGACTTATACACAGGAGAAGTCTTGGGTGCAGTCCCGGTTCGGCATACAGTGTGCCAGAACTACGATTTTGCCAGTTTTTCGACTGTACTCCGTGCAACATACGACCACTCGCGCACCTTGGAATCGCGTTTGGACCAAATGTGCCCGTTCCCTGTGTTCCAACATTCCATGGCCGTTTTATTGAATGCTAGAATCATGTCCATTCAGAGGAATGATCTAGCCCATCCATCCTTGACGAATAAGCAGGATGCACTGGAGGCTATCCGTGCGAAGGATATGCTTATTCCAAAGCCAATTTTCGAATACCTAAATTCCATTGGCCAGACACTGACTCCAACCGGAGACAAAGTGTTTTTGAACCTGCCGTCGGTCTCGATACCACAGGGGCCCATCGAGGATACGTGCAGCAGCGGTACGTTTGGACAGATTACCGCTGAAAACCACAATGTTTATGAGGCGAATTGGAGCCCATACGTAACGAAAGGATTTATTAATGCCACGTTACATTTTAACCAGGAAGGAGGAGCAGCCAATTGGATCCCACTCCCTGAAGCTTGGATCCCCGAAGGAGGGGTTGCAAATGAAAACTTGTTGGGATGGCAACCAACTAATTTAGTACATAGGAATGGATTAGCGAGGATGCGCGAATGTAGTTTCGCTAATGACGCAACGACAGCTGGAACGTTGTGCTACAGTCCTGAAGCATCAGCCCTTACATCTGAAGTGTGGTCCCAGATTAAGGGTGTTAAGACCGTAAA